CTATCTTTCTGGGTTAATAGATACACTATTCATCTTTGTGCTTTTCTGCATCTTCTAAATTTTATGCGCTGCATTATGATAGTTTGAGTTACTGGAAAGTTTCTGTACCTCTCTCAACACCCCACCTCTAGAGGTGAAATAAAGTCCACAGAGTTTGAAACATATACATTAATTGAACAAACTTTTATTAAGTGCCTAGACCAAAGTGAAACACTACAGCAGCATTAATAGATAGGTAAATATTTCTTGACTCAAAGCTGAAAAGAAACTAAAAAAAAGTTTGAGTTGGGAGAAGAACGTGTCTTGTGGGCATTTTTTTCTTTCTAACAATAAGAAGGAACAAGATCATATCAACATACTAACATTTATTTAAAATGTTTTCAGTGCCTTTATCTCACAGAATCCACGCATGTTGTTGGAGATGAGAAAACCTGTGACCCACTGTCCTGTTCCATGAGAAAGAATCCATGGCCATGGTATAGTGGGCTCTTGAAAAATACTCAGGGAGCATATAGCTATCTGCATTTTGTAATTTATAAATTAATGTGTATGTGGCCAGTTCTCTTGGTTGTTTAACCAACATATTTTCCCCACTCTTCCCTTCTCTCTGTGAGAGACTTGGTTTAGTTCTGTGAAGACCCTTCCCCCATGTGATTCAGGGAATATCCTCATTAATCAAAGTCAGTCATAGCTAACACCACATCTTCCTTGCCAGTGATTAGATGCTGCAGAGCTTCTGAGATGAGACACACTGGAAGAGACTACCTGCATCTTCTTCTGCATAGAATCCTAGGAACTTGGTGGCCATCACTACAGCTGCATAGAATCCTAGGAACTTGGTGGCCATCTTGGTACCAGCCTGAAGAAGAATTTATACACAAGGAAAGAAGAGCCAAGAAAATCTTAGAGAAGCATGCCATCACTGCAGCCTGTCCTACCTCTGGACCTACTATTTTATGAGGTAGCATATCCCTTTAGTGTTTAGATCAATTTGGGTTGGAGCTTCTATTACTTGTAGCAAAAAGCAATAATAATTGACATAGTATGCTTTGTCTCAGGAAGGGGATTTGGTGCAAGAGGGAGATGAGAGAAAAAGTAGATAATATTAAATGCTATGAAATTCAGAAAGACAAAATTCACACTTGGGGTCAGATTCTTTACAGAGCTGATTTGGAAATGTTGAGGCAAAAGGGCTTCAGGGTTAAGCCAGGCAACCAGAAACAAAAGAAGTCTGAGCCCCATGTATGACCAGTTTCCTAATGGGGACCTGTAACTGGACAGCAGTAATCTCTTCCTCCCAAAACAAATAAATGGAAAAAGTTCAGGAAGTCTTCCTAATTTAGCGATTATTATAGAAAATTTTTTGTAAGGACTCAGTACTTACCATGCAGCAGGCACGGTGAACTTCATTAGTTTACTGACTGGTTCATTAAGTCAGGCATTAAACAAATGTACATTTGAGGTATACCATGTCCCAGGCATATTAGTCAACAAGTCAGACATAGTCTCTGACCTAAAGGAATAAGTTTAGTGTGAAACAAAACTATTCTATTTATTTATTGATTAATTACTAATTTGATGAGTGCTTTAAAGGAATAAAAAAGAGTGGTAAGTCCTAGCACGGTGGCTCACACCTGGAATCCCAGCACTTTGGGAGATCGAGGTAGGAGGATTGCTTGAGGCCAGGGATTTGAGACTAACCTGGACAACGTAGCAAGACTCCATCTCTACAAATAAATAAAATGCAAAAAATTAGCTGGATGTGGTGGCGCATGCCTGTAGTCTTAGTTACTCAGGAGGTTGAGGCAGGAGGATTGCTTGAGCCCAGGTTGTTGAGACTGCAGTGAGCTATTGTACCATACACTACAGTCTGGTAACAGAGTGAGATCCCTTCTCTTAAAGAAAGGATGGGGGGTGGTAAAACAGAAACACTGGGGCAAGGTGGGTCCTTAATTAAGAATGGAGACAGAGGGGATCAGCCAATGTGTGAATAAATGACATTAAATTGACAAATGAAAGATAAATAGGAGTAAACCAGATAGAGCTGTGGGATGAGGTGGAGACATTCCTGGCAAAGGAGGCTTGGTAGAAGAAATGAAAGCACACCAGTGTGGCTGGAACATAGCAAGTCACTGGGCAATGTGAGATGAACTTGGTGGGGGAAGCAAGGACCCAATCATGTAGGACTTTGTTGGCAATGCTATGAGTCTCGAATTCCATTAAGGGCAACAAGAAACCACTAAAAAGTCCAAATCAAGGAAGTGCCATGAAACACAACTGATGTTTTCAAATAATCCCTACAGTAGCTGCATTTCGAGTAGATAGGAGTTGGGCAAGCAAGTAACCAATTTTTGCTACTGCAGACATCCATGACATAATGGTGGCTTGGATTAGGGTGGTAGCAATGGATATAAAGATAAATGAATGTGAGAAGTAGTTTGGATAATGAGAGACAGAGAAGGGAGAAAGAGAAGGGGTAAGAATGTTTCCTGGGTTTCATTTTAAACAGAGGAGTAAGAGGGAGGTGCTATTCACTGAAACAGGGAAGATGGCAAAAGAAGCAGGACTTGGAACAGGTAAAACTCACAAGTTTAGTGTGGGACGCTTATAAGGTATTCAAGTGGACACGTCAATAGATCGCTGACTCTCAAATTCTGGAAGAGAGGTCAGCATCAGAGGTCAAAGATAGGTGTCATGTCATCAACACATAGACAGAACTTAAAGTCACAGGAATGGATGAGTTTATCTAGGGAGATGAAGAGTGGTGATAAGAAGACTAGTGCTGAGAGGAGAAGCCCTGGGGAATTTCCTATTTTAAAGGGTGGGAGACTGGGCTTGGTGGCTCAGCCTGTAATCTCAGCACTTTGGGAGGCCAAGGCAAGTGGATTGCCTGAGCTTGCGGGTTTGAGACCAGCCCAGGCAACTTGGCGAGATCTCATTTCTACAATAAAAATAAAAATAAAAAAATCAACTGGGCATGGTAGCATGCGCCTATAGTTCTGGCTACTTGGAAGGCTGAGGCAGGATTGCCAGAGCGCAGCAAGTCGACACTGGGATGGCTGTGTACGTGCCACTGCACTCCAGCCTGGGTGACAGAGTGAGACTCCAACTCAAAAAAAAAAAAAACCTTAAAAAAAAAATAAGGGTGGAAGAGGAAGACCCTCCAGAGGAAGTGGCAGGAGTAGCTAATAAGGTTAGTCAAAACTAGAAGAGGTCTGCAGTACCCAAGGATGATTTCTAGAGGGAGGGAGTGGTCAGTTATACTGATTGCACAGTAAACAGAAAAATGTCCCTTGATTTCAGCACCATGGAGGGCACTGATTGCCACTGTGATTATCAGGTGGACAAAGTTCTGTTGCAAATATCAGAATAATTAATTTATAGTGAATAATCCCTTGTGTCATCAGGGTTCAATGGATTCAATTTTCTTTTTTCCTTTCATTTTATTTTTTTCTCTTTTAATTTTTTTGTTTTAAAGATGTGGAGTACAATTCAGGGTTAGGTATATAAATGATCATCATGCAGGTACCCTTGTTGATGAGGTGTGCCCCTTCTTCCCCAGGCAGATTCCCACTACTGCCAATCCCGCTTCACCACCTGCCTGCCGGCAGTTGGATTCAATTTTAGATTTTGAGTTTTCTTCCTGAGACATTTTAGTTGCTTATAAGGATGGCTATTTCGTCTATTTTATTCTTACTTAGACTCTTATGTCTCCCCCCCAATTTTTCCTTTTGAAAAATATAATAAAACTCATTCTATTCTGCAATTACCACATAGGGTCCACTAGACCCTATCATAACTTACAGGATTTTAGTAATCTTGATTGCCTCTAGCTTCAGACATTTTGCTATATCATTATCCTAGGAATTATTTCAAATCACTCAACAACTATCCCCAATTATACAAGACAAAAATAATAAGATAAAGCATTCTAAATCACTTAGAAGTTGATTCAAAAGTGAAATAAATCATCACTATTAGATCATCTTTCTGTTATCTTATTAGAATGCCCAAAATACTCCATCATCTTTTAAGAGGGTAGAAAAAAAATTGGAGACATTATCTTTGTAGTTTTTATTGTTATTGTTTTAAAGCTTTTATTAATCACTGATAAAAATTCAGAATTTTTCATTTTTTTTTCAATAATGGCAAAGAGAAGAAAATTGATAAATACACTTCCAAGCATTAGAAAAATCAGAAAAATGCAAAAAGGTAGAGAAAAGAACTCTAGATTTTAATAATGACAGTGACTTTTTTTTTTTTTTTTAAAAGAGACCAGGTCTCACGCTGCCATCTAGGCTAGAATTCAGTGGTGTGATCATAGCTCACTATAACCTTGAACTGGGCTCATGCAATCTTCCCACTTCAGTCTCCTTAGTAGCTAGGACTACAGACACATGCCTCCACTTCCAGCAAGCTGTTTTTATTTTTTTGTAGACATGGGGTCTTGCTACATTATACAGGATGGTCTCGAACTTCTAGCCTCAAGCAATCCTCCTGCCTCGGCCTCCCAAAGTGCTGGAATTACAGTTGCGAGCCACTGTGTCTGCCGTAAATTTATCATATCATAGTCTGGAATCTCAGACTATGAGTCTTCAGATGATGATACCCTAGATGAACTTTCTCAAACTCAAGAACTGATGATTCAAGGATAAAAAGGAAATATGATAGTCTCATCCAGTTAGTCATTTAACAGGAATGACTTCCTTATTCAGTATTTTGCAACAAGAATCTGAGCCATCCTAAAAAGATGTGTGATATATTGTCATCTTTTATGATGTGCCTCAAATATACTTCATACAGTTTGTAAGCCAACAAATGATAAAGGCAGATGTATATAAACAAAGGTGAATGGAAGTGAATATATGAGATAGAGATGAAAAAATTCATTGAATTTCTCACTGCAATTGGTGTTTATAAATCTAAAAATGAAAATGTTTTCCAGCTAAGAAGCAAATAAAATGGCTACCCTCTCCTTAACAAAATCATGAGCCATCACAGTTTTCAAAAGTATTGCTTTTTATTTATTCAAGTGCAAGAAGCAGCAAAAGTAATTACAAGCTGGTACCATTAGAGATGTATTTGAAATCTGAAATCAATACTTACAAGAGGATTGTTTCTGGTTCTTATATGTTGACTGATAAGTATCAGCTGCGTTCAAAGAACACTGCCCATTTCCTTCAAATGCAGGAAAATACAGAATAAAAAGTTGGGTTTGCAACGCTTAAATTAACAATTTTTAAACATTATTTTCAATATTCCTTTATCCCTGCCTCTGTAAATGATTTGCAAAATGACTTAAAAATATGAAAAAACAAAATGAGGACCATTGGTAATGAGTGTTTTCTCTAGCATACTGAGACTTATACAGATGGGGGTTTGTCTCACAGAACAGACAACAGAGGACAAAAACGTGAACCTCTCTCATAGAGGGCTTAGAAGTATTATCTCACCTAATGGGCAGTGTCAGCTTAGATAGGGGGACTGTGGCTCAATAACATCTCAAGGACTCCGCTCACTTCCACCTCTCTGCTCTGCCATCAGACCTGGCTTTAGTCTCAGGATCTTGTAGCAGGATAGTTGTGGCATTAGTTTTAGCTAGACAACAAACAAAGGAAGGAAACAAAAACTACTTACATCTCTCTATTAAGAGTGAGGAAACTTTTCCAAGAATAACTCCTTCTCCTTCAGCTCCTTTCCCTCTCGCCTTCCAGTAGGGAGAAGGTATAGCAGGTATCAGGTAGGCTACAAAGTGTTAGTGACAGACTAACTACAGAAGCAGAACTAAAACAACGTATAGAACACATGCTAATTGAGAACTCTCCTCAGGAGTCAGAATGGACCAGGATAAGTAAGCCAGCCCTTTATAAGTTCCCTTTTCCCATCTTGGTGTCATTCTGTCCTCTCCAAGCATCCAGGATATTGTCTTACTTCCTGTTCCTCTTGGCAGCTGCATACAGGAACAGCCAGCTGGTATATTTTCTAAGATAGAGTAGGATGAGGTGAAAAAAGTAGACTGAATTGGGAGATGAGCCACATAACCAGCTATGACAAGCCTCAGGGACCAGCAGTGACCAATGGATAAGAGACAAAAGACTGCGTTTCTGCAGCCACTTTGAAGAGCCAAGAAGAAAAATAGTAAGTCTGGAAAAGAGCCGTTTCCCAGAACTATTTTGGCTAGGGTTTTTGTATGCTTTAAAAATTCAAAGCAGGAGGTATGGCCAGCACCAGGATGAGGAAGAATGTGATACTGAGAGGAAGCAAAGGGAGAAAGAGGAGAGGGGAACTATTTCAGTTCCTTTTTTTCTCCCCAAACTGAGATCCTGTCCTTAATAATTTTAAGGGCACATTCTCCCTTTAAAGTTGCCCAGTTAAGATCAAAATTGAAGATGGTGGCTGGGACAGGCTATGATTTTTTAATGACCACTTTTGTATGATCTTGTACACTTGGACAGGCTGGAATTGAAACAATCCTTGGAAGTGAGAAACAAGGGACACTGTGCCAAATTTTTCTTCTATACGCAGTTACAAAAACTGCTAGGCTCATGCAAAGTATGCAGATTTTAGTCTGACGAATAGAAGACATTTTCTGATCAAGGGTACGGTAAGGAGAGGTGGTGTGTTGCTGGCCATAGTATGACCTGGAACCGTGTCTTAAAGTCACAGCAGATGAAGCCAGTACCTACCATATAGGATATCAGCCAACACTGATAAAAGGTCAGGTCCTCAGTAAACAGAAAAACAGCAAAGTTGCAAAATGGAGCAAAAGGATGATTGCTCATCAGCATGAACACCTAATCCACCATTTTAACAGTAAAAATCTGAAGAAAAAAAAAGACTGACTTTCAGTTTCTATCACCTTTCCTTTACCTGTGTGAAATTTCAGCACATCATCATTCACAGCTAGTTTCCAACCAAGGCCAGAAATCTACACAATAAAAAAAGATAGTGCAAATTAAAATAGGCACAGAACAGATATTTTTGATTACTTATGTTTATGCCTTTTTGAGTCTCTAAGAGTCCTTTGAACTAAGAGAGCCCAGGTGGGAGGCAGGGTTGGGATCATACTGACTTTATGATCCATCACCAGAAAAATGATGGATCCCAGTGCAGTGAAACGTAGATTAAGAAACTGCTTTGAGTCTGGCAAGGTCCTTCATTACCACAGGCTGTCTGGAGCCCTCCATCGTAGGATTAAATTCCAAGGGGGACTGGAGTGGAACTGGGCAGGAAAGAGAACTCCAACACACCAACTCCTCCCTTCCCCAAACCAAGTAATATCTGCCGTTGGCAACAGATTAAGATGTGCCTTGATTGTTAAATATGCATTAAGAAATCTATCCCTTGTTATAAAACAGTTTCTCTTAAGTTTCCAGATTTATGTAGTGAGTTCCATGCCCTTTTAAAATAGGGCTTAACATCTCACATGGGTTTTCCCAAAAGTTCTTTACATAACCATGGTAGGGTGGCCCCAGACAACAAACGAAACAAATGATCTGAATAAACAGTCTAAATTAAATTTTTGAAAATGCCTGGAGAAGTCAAATACGGATGTGGAGGAAACGAGTCCATACCCCGGAGCCGTGAACTTACATCACAGCAGCCTCAGTCTGAAACCCACTCCCGGCACAACCTTCCGGAAACGCGCCCTAGTACCTGAACAAAGCGAGGACCAAGTTCAGGGGCTTTGTCTCCAAAGAACAAAGATCGGCCGGGCGCGCCCGGGCTCGGGAGGATGAAGCCTCCCCGGGCGCCCAGGCCACTCGCGGGCCCGCCCA